CGAATTCTTTGTTCCTCTTAACTTCCTGTGGTGAATTCCTTTCATTTGTGGATTTTTTTTTTTCATTTCTTTTGTTTTTACTGAGACTTTATGTTTTTCTTCTTTATTTTGATGAGTAGGTTTGTTAACTTTCTTTGTGAAATTTACCCTTATCTTCCTAGGTTTGAACCAGTCTATTACTACTTGGTATCGCCTTGCCTTTCTCTCCATTAGAAAGTTCTTACCTATACCGTTTATTCCCTCTTTTATTGTTCCGACATTGTCATTTGCAGATTAACCTCTCTGGTTCCCTGCTGTAAAACTTTTGGTTTTGAATAGTCCTTGAGACTTCATTTCCTAGTTTGGTATCTGGCTGGTGCTGTCTCATGTCCTAGAATCAGGGTGCCATCTGATGTTGTTTGTTCTCAAACCAAGGGACTCCCTTTAATCATTCTTGAAAGTTTGGTTTGGTTTTTACGTATTCCCTTAGTTTCTGGGGTTTTTTTTTTTGGAAATGTCCTAATTTCACCATCATATTTGAATGACAGTGTTGCAGGATACGTTATTCCTGGCTGGCAATTTTTTTCTTTTGAAGTTTCATATATGTCATCCCATTGCCTTCTTGCCTGCATGGTTTCTACCAAATAATCTGAGCTTACTCTTACTGTTTCCTCTCTATATGTGACTTTTCGTTTTTCTCAAGCACCTCTCAGGATTCTCTTTTTGTCTTTGGTTTAAGCAAGTGTGATTATGACATGCCTTGATGATTGTCTTTTAGGGTCCATCCTACATGGGGCTCATTGAGCTTGGATGGTCAGCTTTTCATCCTTCAAGACATTAGGGAAGTTTTCTGTTAGCAAGTCTTCAATGATCCTCTCTGTGTTTTCAGTTTTCTCCCACTGTTCCGGAACTCTGATCACTAGCAAATTTTTTATTGTATCCCACATAATTCTCAGGGTTTCTGCATTTTTCTTCATTCTTTTTTTCTGATTTTTCCTCAGAGTTGTATCCAAGTGTTTGCCTTCAATTTCGCTGGTCCTGTCTTCCATTGTTTCAAACCTGTTCCTCAGCCCCTCTATGACAATATTTCTGAAATCTTGTTGGTTCACTTTTGGATTTCTAATTGTTGTTTTTGTATGATTTCTAGTTGTGGATTTATTTTGGCATTTTCTTCCCGTATTATTTTCCTGAATTCTTCCATTTTTTTGGTCTATTTTCCATGAATTTGTCTGCCTTCTCTAAGAATTTGTCTATTTTTCCCTCATTTTTTTTCACTTTTTGCTTCAACTCTTGGATAGCTCTAAATATTAGAGATTAGAATTCCCTATCAGGTAGTTCTAGTGTCTTTTCTTCTACTGTAAAGTCATTTGGTGTTTTACTTTGGACACCTACTGGAACCATTCTGTCCGGTTTTTTTACATGTTTTGATAGAGTCTGCTGTCTTCAGGACATTCAGTAGTTATTTTCTTCATTTATTGATTGCAGATTTGTTTGTTTCATCCTGCTTTTTTGTTTTATTTGGTTATGACTGAGCTGGCGGACTTTGTGCTCTTTGTTGTTTGCTCGTCTGTGGACATGATATTTTTCACCTCCTTGTCCAACAGGCAGGGCCAGTAGCTCAGCTATAGTGTAGCAGGGCAAGTCTGTCTGAAGGGGAGGGGCTGGAATGGGTTGTTTGTGGCACGTACTAGGGCCGACAAGTTGAGCCGCTGGTCAGTGTAGGGCAGGTTCCAGTAGGTCATGCCTGTGCTGCTCAGGAGTGCAATATTCAGCACACGGTGCACACAGGCAGGAGGGAGGGGCTTGTGATGTGTAGAGCTAGGTTGGTTATGAAAAAGAAGAGAGAGAGGAGAGAAAAACAGGAGAAAAAAAAAAAAGTGCTGAGGGAGCTTGCCATTGGAGTGGAGAGAAAGAAGCCGAGAAATGAATAAAAACAAAAAGAAAAATTTAAAAAAAAAATGCCCCCAGGTATCCCACTGTCGCAGATGCAGAGACTGGGGAAGCGGGTCCTAAGCCACGCAGTACAGCCTGGCTAGAAGGGGTGGAGATGATACATAGTGGCAGGTATTCAAGAGACAGGAAAAGAAGGTAAGTAGAATGAGACAAGAAACTGAGAAATGAAGAAAGATAATCCAGAAAAAAGAAAGAGAAAACATACAGACACAAAGGAAAAAGATAGCCCCCCGAGAGCTCACCAGTGTGGCCGTGTGGACCCAGGGAGCAGTTCCCCAGCTGAGCGGTGCTTCACAGCCTGTCAAGAAGCAAAAGATGGCACACGAAGTCAGATGTTTGAGAGAAAGGAGGAGGAGGCGGTGAGAGGCAGGGAAGAAACCAAAAGAGGCTGAAATAAGCAACACCAGCAACAAAGAAATGGCAGTGAAGAAGCTGGCCGGTGTGGGTGGGGCGAATCTGTGTGGCACGGAACCGGCGACTCTCGTGCTGTGGTTGAGGCCCACTGGGAAGTCGCAGATCAGCTCGCCAGGAAGCGGCAAATTGGCCCTCTGGGAAGCCAAGAACCAACCCGCTGGGAAGCTGGGAATCGGTCTGCCAGGAAGCAGCAAGTCAGCCAGCTGGGAAACGGCAAAGGTTCAGCAGGGGGAGGTTGGATTAGGGGGGTGGGGTGGGAAAGCATGTCTCGCTGGTTACCAGGTGCTCTGTCTCTTGCTGGGAGCTCTGTGAATCTGCATTCACATACTCCCTGTCCACCTATCTCTGATAGGAGTCCAAGATAGTGGATTTATGCTGCGTTAGCTGATATGGGACCTCCGCTCGTAACTCTCCTTGCTCTCTGTTCTCTGTCAGTTTCTTATTCCATTCGGTGCTTGGTTCTTTATCTCTTCGTTTGACGTTTAGGGTTCCAGGACTGACATCTGTCTCCATTTTACTTAGCTTTTCTGGTCTTTGCTGTGGAGGGACTATGTGGTGCTTCTGACTATACTGTCACATTGGCTCTGCCTCTATAACTTCTCTTTATTGATATTTTCTTTTTGTTCATACATTTTCTTGGTTTCTGTTAGTTTTTTGTCCATGGTATCCTTTATCTCTTTCGGTCTATTTAAGACAGTTGATTTAAAGACTTTGTCCTGTAAGTGCAATGTCTGGGCCTTCCCAGAGATAGTTTCTGTTAATTTATTATTATTAGTTTTTCCTTTCAATGAGTCTTACTTTCCTCTTTATATGCTTCATGATTTTTTTGTTGTTGTTGAAAACTGGACAACAGACTATTATAACTTGGTAACTCTCAAAACCAGATTCTCCCCTTTCTCCAGGGTTTGCTCTTCTTGATTGTTGAAGGCTTATTTTGTGTTCCCACAGTATTTTGACTGAGATTTCCTTAAATGCCAGGAGCTTTAACAAAACCCAAACCCAAACCAAAACACAACAAAAAAAAACCCTCTTCCAGTTTTTGTGGATTGGCTCTGTGCTGGGGTACTCCTTTAACACTTAGCCGAAAGTTTAACAACTCAGCCTCAGCCTTCTCTTCCTGCTTGCACTGAGCTTATAAATCAGCCAATGGTAAAAGATTAGGTTCTTCTCAGGTCTTTGCTAAGTATCTATCCTGTACTGGGGAAGCATGTGGCTTTCTAAATTTCCCAGCATACATGACTATTTTTGAATACTCTAGTTTCCCAAAGAAACTCTCTTCCTGGCTTTTCACCTCTGGCTTTTGGCACTCAATTGTAGGTCACAGTTATACTCTTTCGCCCCAGATGGCTGATGGTTTTTCAATTGCCTTACAATGTTTTTAGAGGAGCCCTGGTGGCATAGTGGTTAGGCACTCAGCTGTTAACCAAAAGGTCAGCAGTTTGAAACCACCAGCCACTCCGTGGGAGAAAGATGTGGCGGTATGCTCCCATTAAGATTACAGCCTTGGAAACCCTATGGGGCGGTTCTACTCTGTCCTACAGGGTTGCTAGAAGTTGAAACTGACTTGGCAGCAATGGGTTTGGTTTTTGTTTTTACAATGTTTTTGAAGAATGTCCCCCAAGCAGGCTCAAGTTAGATGAAACAGAGACAAGTGCCTTGCGTAGGTCTTTCAGGTATCCCCTAAACAGGTTAGAACAGGTAAACATAATATTTTGCACACAAAGTCTGCTCTGTTCCCTTCAGAACCAGGGGCCAGGGTTCCACACTGGGAACACAGGCCGCCATCTTTAAGTCTCCTGCTGAGTGGAGCAAGGTGCAAATAAAAATGCCAAAAAGCTTTCCTACTGATTTTAAGTTGGCTTTTACTTGATTTGGAGCCCTGGTGGCACAGTGGTTAAGAGCTTGGCTGCTAACCAAAAAGTTAGCAGCTTGAATCCACCAGCTGCTCCTTGGAAACCTTATGGGGCAGTTCTAGTCTGTCCTATAGGGTCGTTATGAGTCACAACTGACTCAATGGCAATGGGTTGGTGTTTGGTTTTTACTTGATTTAGCGTTTGCTTGGTTACTGTAAACCTTTGACTTTTTTCTAGAATTCTGACAAAGTTGATTCTGATAGTTTCTGGGGTTTTTTTTGCTGTTTCTGTGGAGCAACAGAAGTTTGGAGCTGTCTAATTTGCTATTTTTCTAATGCCACTGAAATGTTAATCTTTTAAAAAATCAAAATTCCCAGAGGCATTGGTGTGGTTCTAGTAAAATTAGAATTTTTTTAAAAAAAAGTTTAAAGAGGAATAGATATTTCTCTAAATATAAGACTAAGCATTCAAATTTATGTAATATAAATCCATGCTGGCTATTATTATATATTACTTATATGTATGCATACATATATACACTACACATGTATATATGTATACCAAATAAAAAACAAACAAACCTGTTGCCATCAAGGCAATTCTGACTCATAGTGACCCTGCAGGCCAGAGTAGAACTGCCCCATAGGGTTTCCAAGGAGTAGCTGGTGGATTCAAACTGCCGACCCTTTGGTTAGCAGCTGAACGCTTAACCACTGCGCCACCAGGGCTACATATACATACATATAAACACGATTTCTTAAAAGCTACCCATAGAACTGAAAGAATATAAAATTATTTTACCCAGTCAGCATTTTTCAGCTCATTCAGGTCTGTGCTAGAGTCATTACTTTTTTCCATTTCTTGCATCTTCTTCAGATTCTATCAGTCAAAATAAAGACAGTATGATTAGGCATGAAAATTTCATTAAGGTAACTTCTCAAATTAAAATTTCTCAACAGATATCATCAGATAAAATATACACACAAAAGTTATTGAATAAGACAGCACAGAGCCTACTCTTCTATAAATTTTAAGGTCAATAATAAAACAGATAAAGGCCTCTAGAAGGATGGACTGGGACTGTGTATTCTGCTTTCTTTGTAGGCCTTTTAGGTTAAACTTTCAGTTACAATATCAACTCACAGCATCTAAACCATACTGATAACTTCTTCTCACTTACCATTTACATCCAATCCATCATTAAGTCTCATAGATCTTACTTTCTCCATTACTTACTTATTTACCTAAGCCCTCTTCTTTTTCATCTGCACTGCAAATCCCTTACTCTAGACACCATCTGCCCTGGATACTCTCCTGTCCTCACTCTCACTGCCTGGTTTCTGCCCTGGACGCTCTCTTCTCTTCACCTCTATGCCTGATCTCTGCCCTGGATACTTTCCTCTCTCAGCCCCCATGCCTGCCTGGTCCCTGCTATGGGTGCTTTCTTTTTCTCATCCCCGTGACTGATATCCACCCAGGATACTCTCCTTTCCTCACCTTCCCTGACTGGACTCTTTCACTGCCTACTTCTACTTTTCCTTCAGATATCAGGCTTAACAGAATCACCAATTCCTCAGGGAAGCCTTCCCTACCTCCCTGACAAGGCCAAATCCTCCTATTACACAATTTTATAATACTACATGCCTTTCCTCTATATCTCTTATTTAACAATGCAGTTTTACATTTATTTGTGTGAACATTTATATGCTTTCCCTCTAGACTTTATGAGGCACAATTCTAACCTCAGAAACTAAGACAAACATTGGCCCCTTAGTTGATGCTCAATAAGTATTTGTTAAATAGTTTAATAAATAAATTTCAATTGATGAAATGCCTTTTAAAAACACACCAATTTAACATTTTTAACTTTCAGAAAATATGTATTTGCATGTTAATTACAAATTTGTTATACCATTCTTACTCACAGTAATTCAACCTTAATCTATTTTACTTATTGCTGAGCTATTTGCAGTGTATGAAACCTAACTTATTTTATATGCGAATAATGAATACTTAATATGAAACATTTCTAAGCCATTTATTTTTAGCTTCTCAACATTTCAGTTTAATCATGTGCGAAATGAGGGTACCACCACTTGGCTTTTTTCTACTTAATGTACAGGAGCATTAATACAGAAAGAATAAAATTACTTTGACCACTTGAAGAAAAAGCACTATAAACAATGCATTGTTCTCTCCCTAAAGGAAAGAAATTAAAAAAAATAAAAAAAAGAATTGCTAATTATTTCAGAGTTTATTTTCATAATTATTTTAAAAAGAAATGCCAGGTTTTCTGCTTGAGATGACAGAATAAGTCATTTGCCATTCCTCTGTTTTACGACTTTGTCAAGTTACCCTTTTGGGGCCTCTTATTTCTCATCTTTAAAATTAAAATATCATCACCTATCTTACAATGTTATTTTGAGTATTAAATGAAAGAAAATGCTACAATAAATCACTGGCACACTGCTTGGCATAGACAAGGTTCTTAGGATAATTCCCTTTACCTCCTAAATATAATAAATTATAACTCATTATATAATGTTGTTGTGTGCAATTGAGTCGATTCCAACTCATAGTGACCCTACAGGACAGAACAGAACTGCCCCATAGTGTTTCCTAGGCTGTAATCTTTTGGGGAGTAGATTGTCAAGTCTTTCTCCCATGGAGTGGCTGGTGGGTTTGAATTGCTGACCCTTCAGTTAGCAGCTGAGCACTTAACCACTGCACCATGAGAGCTTCTTATCGTTATATCAAAAACCAAAAAAACCAAACCTGTTGCTGTTGAGTCAATTCTGACTCATAGCAACCCTACAGGACAGAGTAGAACTGCCCCATAGGGTTTCCAAGGAGTGGCTGGTGGATTTGAGCCGCTGATCTTTTGTTTAACAGCTGAGGTCTTAACCACTGTGCAACCAAGGCGCCCATTATATCACAGTACATATCAAATCTTAAAAAAAAAAAAAAAATTAGATATAGCAGAGCCTTATATTTATGGCCCCTGGGGAAAAGGAACTCCCCAAACATGCATATCTGGATCACCCTCTATAGTATATAACCCAGCTCCATTCCTTACTACTATTGCAGACCTTCTTTTTCAGTGTTTCTGTCTGTGGCTCTTGGCTGTAACAGGATGTTGGGGCAATAATGATAGCAGCTAACATGTACTGTGCACTTAGGTGTCAAGTGCTAGACCTTTATAACCATCTTTTAGCTTCTATGACAACCCATATTACAGAGAAAACTGGGGCTCAGCAAGGTTAAAGAACATGCCTGAGCTCTTACAGAAGGGTTTAAATCTAGTGTGAAGTAGTACCATGGTCTCAGAAGTTAGGTAAGATGTACTGGAAGGACACCAGATGATGGGAATAATAGTTTTATTAGGAATGCAAGCATCCTGATCCTGACCCCAAATGGCTCAGACAACCCTAAGAAAACAGCTGAATAAGGTTCTACTCTATTTTTGTTAAAAAGGAATATTTGTGAATTGATACTACACAAGGAAAAAAGAATAGAATTTATGACTTGTAACTGGGCTTTGCAGATAATGGGTACTTAATACGTGCGACATTACATTAAAATCTGTGTAATAATCATTCTTACTAAATTAAGAGTCTCAATTTTCTATCTTTAAAGATATACCAGATTGCTTTATATAATATTTCTGATATCCAGAATCCCTTTTTTTTTGGGGGGGGGGGCTAGAGGTTATTAAATAGCTTTAAAAAAAAAAATCTCTGGTGATTTAGAACAATAGTTTTCAACCCAAGTCCACAATCTTGATGTACCATCAGAATCAGAATTGAGGTGGGAAAACCAAAAAGAAGAGGCAGGTGTGTTTAGTTTGCTCCTCTGGTGACTGTTGTCCAGACTCCACCAATAAGAATTAATGACTTAAAGTATATATTATTAGATTAACTAAAAGAGTCTGATATGTTTTTATTTTACAATTAGAATGGTCAAGAAAAAGAAATTTAGGCAATAAACCACCACTGGACACCTGGTGCCGTATCAGGTTACAATGCCTATCAGGAGCAGCAAACTCCCCTGCTCCCGCTCACAAAAACAAAACTGAGAATAAGTATCTCAATTTCCTACTATTTCTTCCTCCCACTCTAGCCTTTAGGCATCTGCACGGGCTGCTTCCTCTTCCTAGAATGCCTTCCCCCAAACATCCACAGTTAACTCCATCACATCCTTCAAATTCTTGCTCAAATGTCATCTCCATGAGGCCTACCTTGGCCATCCTGTTTAAAATTCCAAGCCCGATCCCCTGCCATTACCAATTCCTCTAGTCTATGTTTCTTTCCAAAGCACTCCGTCTTTTAATAGTTGATATGATGTACTTATTTCTCATGTTTACTGTCTGCCTCCCCCGCTAGATTGTAAGCTTCGTGACGGAAGTGATTTTTGTTCACTGATGGGGTTCTCAAATCTCTACAACAGGCCTTGGATACGGTAAACCAAAACCAAACTCGTTGCCGTCGAACTGATTCTGACTCATAGTGACCCTATAGAACACAGTAGAACTGCCCCATAGAGTTTCCAAGGAGCAGCTGGTGGATTCAAACTGCCGACCTTTTGGTTAGCAGCCAAGCTATTAACTACTGTGCCACCAGGGCTCCTGCACACAGTAGGAACTTAGTAAATATCTGCTGAAAAGTGAATTAAGACACTTCAAGAATGCTTCAACACTTAACTCTGTTCGATAGCTCTTATCAAGTCAGAAGGAAAATTATTCAGAGGAAATTCTATTTTCTTCTCAAAATTCAGAAACTCCTGGAGGCAGGAAAGAGGTACCTTATCTATGCCATACAGAAACACAGCTCTCCAGTTCAGGAAAATAAATATGCAACCCAAGCTCATATTACATTGTTTAAGTGTCGCATTCAGTCAACAGACAAGAATGAATAAAAAGGAAAAGGAAACGCATGCCTAATACCATATAGAAGAAATGAAGTAATTACAGTAACAAGCAGGTCAATAAGATTCAATCAGCATCAAAATAAACTGGTTTGAAAATTAAGTATGTAGAAATAGAATGACATTCTAACAATGCACCTCTACATACACATCACAGAACAGGGTTTTCATGCCCACTTTGAACTGACTCCAGGCACCCTTGATTTGTTCCCAGTTTCAAGGCGAAAGCTCTCAGTCTTTCTCCATTAAGTGTAATGTCAGCTGTTGGCTTTTCATATATGTCCTGTCTGGTTTTTTTTTCCCTAGATTCCACTGCTATTATCATAAAATTGATAATAAGTCTCTGAATTGTTCTTTCTGCTCCAGTTTCAGCCTCATTTCATTTATCTTCTCACTCCCTGTGATGGTTAAGATTGTGTGTCAACTTGGCTGGACCATGATTCTCAGTGGTTTGGCAGTCGTATGATGTTGTGATCACTCCAATGATGAGATCTGATATAATATGATCACCTCCACGATAGGATCTGCTCTGAGTAGCCAGTCAGCTGACAGGGAGAGTCTTCGGATGTGTGGCCTGCATCGAGTATAAATGGTCATTCCGGCAAGGCTCATGGGCTTTTGCTTGCTCTGGATCCTGCAGCTGGCTCCTGTTCACCTGATCTCCGGTTCAGCTAGCAGTTTACCTCAGTCTTGTCTGCCGGTCTTGGGTTTCGTCAATCTTCACAGCCTGTGGGCAAGAGCCCTGCTCTATGACCTGTCCATCTTGTGTTTGCCAGCCCCTGCGGCTATGTCAATCAGGAGAAGCCTGTATCCTGACCCATGGACTTGGGACGTTCCAGCCTCTACAACTGCGTGAGCCATTTCCTTTATAAATAAATCTCTCTCTATATATATTTATACACTTTACTGGTTTGGCTTCTCTAGAGAACCCACCTAAGACACTCCCCTATGATGGG